ATTAAACAGCCGGTTCATCCGACGGAATCAGCCGTCTCCCCGCCGCCGAATAGTGTCCGTAATTGCTCGGAGGAAGTTTGTCAGGGTCGGGGGAGAGCGGAGGAGGAGACAGAGCAGCTTTTCGAGATCGTTTAGAGACCGTAGGGCCATGGATGGCTGGAGCTTCGATCGTTGACTCCCGAGGGAGCGATGAACGAAATGTCAGCCCAACAGCGGAACCAACCTGGCAAATTGAATATCCAACCCCGTCCTTCTTTCCTCCTCGCCGGTGTCCTCCCTCCGCTGCCATCCTCTCGCCTTCCTCTTTCACCGGGTCCATCCTCCTTTTTCCAGCGATCAGCTCTGCTTTTCCACCGGGGAACCGCGTTTTCTCCCTTTTCCCGGCATCATGTGTGACTCGTCCGATGTCCTCCATCATTGCCATCGATCCTTCTAATCGCGTTATCTACCGCTGAACCGAACGATCTACCCGCGAAATGTCAGCCAGGTATTCATAGGCACGGTCTCCGCGACCGGTATTATTTATAACAATTGAGGTGACGGTGTATCGCGCCGATGAAACGTTGTCCGGGGCATCGATGTCAGTGCTCGCCGGCGTTTGAGGATAATAGAACCGCGGCGTGTTCTCCCGGCACGAAGACGTACCAGTTCGACGTTTTCGATGCAGAATGATTTCTGCGAGGCTGTCCCCTCTTGGCTGGTTGAGTTATAGGCGACACGCGATAGCAGTCGGCTCGGCTCGCCAATCCTCAACGGCCGTCCTCACTGCGCACCTCAACTGTACATCGATGCCTCGACACCGGCCGCGATTGTGCCCGGACAATGTTACCGCCTTGCAGTCGAGTACTTCGATTTGCCGCTCGCACGGCTCTCCGCGGGCTGTCCGGCGCCGAGCGCACGGTTCGGAAAGTGAATTGTTGCTTGCCCGTTAGCATACAATCAACTTTGCCCCGTACCGACGCTTTGTCCCGGCGATCGTCTCGCGACGTCGCTCTCGGATTCGTATTAGTGCTGCGAGGTGTCTCGAGGGATACGTGAACGGTCATCTTCTTGTTTAATCGTTGCCAGAGGTTTATGAGCTTTCGGTTTTGATGTAATTGTCCGTGAGTAGCCTCTAACTCTCTGTTTAAAGCTAATAGCTTCGGTTGTTGGGTAGTGTCTGACGGAAAGTTTATGTACCATTAATAGCACTGACAAATCGAGTTCCGTGTTAGGCTCATTCGACATCGCATTCCCCATTTCTTTATCGGTCCAGCCGTTTTCAATGGTACTCAACGATTGTCCGCAGAGTCCTTTCGGATGTAGTACTCTGGCGGACTTGTTAAGTGCGTCGTACACGGATCCTGCGGATGCGGGAAGCCTGCCGGAAGAACTGGACCCATTCCCGGAGCTCCAGTTAGGCAACCCACAAGGAGTGCCCACGGCGGACGAGTCGGCCCAGCCTCAACCAACAGTCCACCATCAGCAAGCACCGCAACCCCCTCAACCTGCTGCGCCTCTTCCAGAAGATGTCCAGGCAGACTCGCTTAGGTACTTATCACCCCTGAAACATTATCCTATCCAAATTCATCGAGGACAGACGGTATTTCGCATTAAGAGATTCCCAGAAAAGATATGTACTAGAGAGATCATAAGGCGAGGAGTTCGAATAGCTTCGATCGCGAGAGATTAAACGAAATGCTTCGATTTGACGAGACGTTCTATGGGTTCGCCGGTAAGTGCATTTAATCCTGACCCGTCTAACGCAGCTCAACACCCTTGCCGAGCTTCCAAGAAACGTACACGGCTCCCCGGTACACCAGACAAGAGCTCCAAGTCCTCGGCATAAAGATGGACGAGGAGTGTTACGAGAACACCGTGTACCCCTGCGCGACTGGCCACTATCCCACCGAATTCTCGCCGACGATCCCCTACCATGATCACCAGCAACAGCCGCAGCAGCCGCCGCACCATCACCACCACCATCATCCCCATCAGCCGCAGCAAGCCCCGCCGCCCCAGCAACAGCACCATCATCATCACCAAGGGTACTTCGCCACCGAGACAGCGCCGACACCGACGACCGCTGTCCCCTCCCCGTCGAATCATCGACAGGATTCACCGTACGGCACGGCGGTCAGCGTCCCCATGGTGTACGGACCGCCGCCGACCATCACCGGAAGTGCGACCCCGGTCGCGCCTACGGAACTCTGCCCGAACGTCGACAACGTCGTCGTAGGGACTTCCCGGTCAAGGAGGGCATCCCTGCCTACGCAGAGGCTAGAGTCCGCGAGGTATTTATCATCATTAATCGTGAATAATTCATTCGCTGTTTCCATCGAATCTTCGGCGAACAGTTTAATAGCTTCTACGTCGTCATTATAGTTTCGAGTTTACTGGCTCACGAACGACCTTCGTAAATTGAGACGGCGATAGGGATAATTGTAGGTGATTACGTGTAATTATCGTTTGTTTTTGTAAACGATAGAAATATAATTATTAATGTCGGAGATACAAAAAAATATTGAAATTTGCGCTGTCAGTAACCAACGGAGTAAAGTTTAGAGACTTCATTCGAGACGTTTCGCGGATAGAGATAGAAAATTAATAATATAAACGTGATTATAAGGTTCGCGTTCTGTAGTGTACCGTGGCTTCTGGTTGCCTGCACGTGTTGCGCGCTGATAATGAGATTAATTGATTCCTACGTCAACTATCCATTCGATTTCCGCGTAAAGATACGATTTAATTAGTTACTCGGAGATGTTTTGCATTCCGTTCCGCAATTTCTTGGAACATTTATCCCCAATGTTTTGTCTCATTACGTCCCGTTTTTTAATATAATTACCTGTTAACGCATCAGAGATTAAATTACAGATTATTCAAATCGTCGCGTCCCGTCGCTGCGATGTTCCGCCAGTTTTCTTTCCTCGGTTCTCCGGAAATCGCACTTACTTCTAACTGGATCTCATTTCAATCCGATTTACATCTATGAAATTTCTAGCAGCTTCTCCAATTCTTCCTGGAATACTCGTCGATGCTTTTTGCTGCGCGTCTAACTCGATGCCAGACGTCAACGAGTTCTTTCTTCTGTCGACAGTAGCGGTAGCACAGAGTCTCCGAAGGCGCGGGGCGGAAGCGGCTCCGGAAGTTCCGTGAGCTCCCTCTCGCCCGGAAGCGGAACCAGCAACGAGAGAGCGCCCCCGAGCCCCAGCCAATTGTGCGCCGTTTGCGGCGACACGGCGGCGTGCCAACACTACGGGGTGCGTACCTGCGAGGGCTGCAAGGGCTTCTTCAAGAGGACCGTGCAAAAGGGCGCGAAGTACGTGTGCCTCGCCGAAAAAGCCTGCCCCGTGGACAAACGCCGGCGGAACCGTTGCCAGTTCTGCCGCTACCAGAAATGCTTGAAGGTTGGCATGGTGAAAGAGGTGAGTCGACATCAATCTAATCACTTTCAATGTACTTATTCGACAGTAACTTAACCCTCTGTAGGCCCATGTAACTTTGACGTAACATATTAGTATATTGGCATCTTGTTGATCTATTTCATTTTGCACTGAGAGTGGTGAATAAAATTAAGTAATCAGTTCACTTGAACTTTTATATGCCCAGGCGTGAAAGTTTAACGTCATTGTAACTTCAGTGTTAAATATATATTTGTTTGATGGAATTATTGAAGCTATTGAATACGTTGTTAATTCGTATTCATGTGTGGATATTTATTAATTTTGCACTGCATAGATTTTGTTATAATCATGAACAAACATTCGGCCCATAGAGGGTTAACATAGATCCAACCAAGAAGTAGAGTCAAGCGTTAGTTTCAGTTAAAATTCAGTTACCGTCATTAGCTTCGCTAGCTACCTAAGCTCTCATAATTAAAAATGAAACCTAATAGTTTCCGAAATGCTAGTCTGCCAGGTCGGTGTTTCAAATTTAATGTATAAGATTTCTCTAGTTAGACATTTTAGAATTACGAGTGTTCTTGAGCTTCCGGAATTCTGTGTTTTTAACGCTTTATCTCGAAAGTGGATGGGTTTGCTTGTCCCCCAGGTGGTCAGGACAGACTCGCTGAAAGGGCGAAGAGGCAGGCTACCCTCGAAGCCGAAATCACCACAGGAATCACCCCCGAGTTCGCCGGTGTCCTTGATCAAGGCCCTACTGCGCGCACATTCGGACACCATGCCGGCGAACCTGGATTACTCCCAGTACCGAATACTCAGTCCGGACGATCCACCGATCGACGACGCGGAAAAGACGCAACAGTTCTACAACCTCCTCACCCCGTCCATCGACGTGATCCGAAATTTCGCCGACAAAATACCCGGTTTCACGGACCTGCTGCGGGAGGATCAGGTTAGTGATTAATTCACACGGGAAGAAGTAAACGGGCGCCGCGTCCTGTTTCTTATTATGTATCGACCGGCGGCAGGCATTATCTTTGCGGGGAAGCTTTCGTTAAAGAGATCGATAGCTTGTACATTTTATAAAAGGTCAAACCTGACGGGCCTACGACATCTTTAATCGACGGTCTGATTGGCCGGTTGTCTAGCAGTAGCTCGTCGAGCTGCTGATGAGAAGAACGTTCTCTTCCTGGTCACTGTCTTCCCGATTCGCTCTTTCTTTTTTTCTTCTTCTTCGTTTCAACGGGAGCCGGAGTGACCGGTGAGTTTCGTGCTCGAGGATTAACAGAGTTTTGTTTCTCGTGGCTCGCAGGAGTTGCTTTTCCAATCGGCGAGCCTGGAGCTGTTCGTCCTGCGGCTGGCGCACCGTACGGAACCGGAACCCACCCAGCTGACATTTTGCAACGGCATTGTGCTGGCGATCGAGCAGTGTCAACGCATCTTCGACGATTGGTTGCACAGCATACTCGAGTTCTCCAAGGCTCTCCACGTTCTAGACGTGGACACCAGCGCTTTCGCCTGTCTGTGCGCGCTTACCCTCGTTACTGGTAAGTTTTTCATTAAAGGGAATCGTATCCTCCGTGATCGTACTCGATAAGTACTCAAGTCTGATCACCATATTCGGAATTTCCCGATAGAACGGATATATTCGTCGACCACCTCGCTATTTCGTTAGAAATCGAATGACTCTGTTTAATTTCTACCGGCGTTCCCCGTTCGTTGAATGAATAACCAGCCGTTTACGTCTGAAATAGAATTCCGTCAATAATACAGTGGATATTGTCAATTGCTTCTCCTTCCATTTCCGCTCTTTCCGATCGCGACTGGTTCCTCATTACGCGCATCCGTCCGCGAGACAAATTATTTATCCAACGGTCAATTAGTTATTGATGCGTCGACGAAAGGAACCGCGATCGTTCGCGGCTTGCACGCGATACGTTTCCGCAGTGAATTTCCGCGGCCGCGTTCGTGTGCGTGCGCCTTTTCGGCCGCACGGATTGCACGCAACATCGATCTCCGAGGCTGAGGGGAGAAATCTCGAGACGGATTCGTACGGAACGCAAGTTCCACCGGAAAATCGTAACGATGTTACCTTCCGATCGACTAATTTCACCCGTTAACCGGACGATCCTTCTAAAAACCGAAGTCTCGCGATTAATTAAGCGACCTCGTTCGCTAATCCCACCACGAAATGAACCGGCTCCGGATCGAACGCCGAGACAACGATGAATCAATGAAAACACGCGTTGTTTCTTGACATTCGCAGAAAGGTACGGCCTGAAGGAGCCTCACCGCATGGAGCAGCTTCAGATGAAGATCATCTCCTCCCTGCGGGACCACGTGACCTACAATTCCGAAGCCCAGAAGAAAGCCCACTACTTGTCCCGGTTGTTGGGCAAGCTGCCGGAGTTGAGGAGTCTCTCCGTGCAGGGTCTCCAGCACATCTTCTACCTGAAACTGTTGGACCTGGTCCCGGCGCCGCCGCTGATTCAGAAGATGTTCGTCGGCAGTCTACCGTTCTAAGCCGCCTTCAGAGCCCGAGCCTAAGGCTACTCACCGCGTAGAACAATTCACTCTCGAGGCCCGTGCGGTTGCGTACACCATTCAGTTTCCTTAGATCTACAAACAAAAAAAAAAGAAACCGTACTACGTAGCTTCTACTATCTTTGCGTGTGTCCGCGAACGGTTCTCGACGACGGTCATCCCGAGCTGGTCCTCTGAATCGAACCCTCGGCGACTACCCTCCTCGAAGCTCGTTCACCCTGGCCGACGAACGTTCCCGAACGTTCCGGCGCGCGTGTGGATCGTGTGAGTGGGACTATTTGTATAGATGAGAGACGCGCGGATGGACCAGGTTACAGGTAGACGCGGTTGCGAGGCTAAAGTTTAAGACAAAGTTCCCGTGTGTGCGTGTGTGTGTGTGTGACATACGAGAGTGGAAGAGAAAGAGAGGAAGAGAGAGTATGTGTGTGTATGCGTGTACATGTTTTACAGGGCGCGTGACTTCGCGATGTGTCCGAGCGGCGCTCGCTGCTCGATACTGTTACTATTGTTACTACTACTCTTAAACCGCTATCATTACTTTAACACTGTACGATGTAACAGCTATTCTTGCTATCGGAAGTCCAAGGATCGGCGGACGAACCGATGGATCGTCCAGGCAGTGGACCACGAACATCGGCGAGGCGAATGGTAGATCTTCTACCGAACGAGATAGAGAGAGAGATAGAGCGCGCGCGAGAGAGAGAGAGAGAGAGAGAGGGAGAGAGAGAGCGAGAGAGAGGGAGAGAGAGAAAGAGAGCAGTGCTTCGACATCGTTCCAGGATCACGGATCTAAGCGATGCGATTGGAACGGTGAACGGGGTGGTCTTCGGGGTCGGCGACTCGTCTATTTCTCGCAAGCGTGCACAAAAGGAAATCGATGAGGCAAACATATATACACGAATTTTTATCACTTTTCTACCTACTTTGTATACGTCGCCGGGCCCGCGAAGTACGCTCGCGTTTCTCTCGCCGATCCGCGGCGTCGTCCTTGCCCGGCCGATCGATCGCGCGGGCCTGACCGATCTTCTTTTCGGTGTATAAACGTACTTAAACGAAGTCGTGGTGAAGTGTGCAAGCGAAACGCATTGACGACTCGCAACATATCAGTGCAACGACGGAAGAGCAGACGCGGACGTTGCTGCTGGACACCCTTAAAATTCTCTCAACCCTTCGCCCCCGTAACCCAGTGAATTTTGCTCTTCCGTGTTGACAATTAGACGTAGGCGCGTGGCCGTGATCACACTCGAACGTCCGGATGACGCTAACTGTTTACCGAAGCGTGTATCCTTTCTTTCTCCCTTTGAGCAGCGCTCGATGGAACGAGTGTATGCGTAGCGTAGAAACCCGATCATTCCCTCCCAGCACAGTTGTCGATCGCGGGGTTTAGCGTCATCGGAAACGCGCGAGTGTGCTCGTCGTCACGAGGTCGGGATCGCTCGGCCCAATTACCACTACTCTTGCGTTAATGTGATTTTAGACAGCTAAGGGCGAGACGAAGGAAGAATGAAACGGGATCCTGGTGCTGGCTGTCTGCCGACAACGACGTCGCGGGGATCGCGATTAGCGAATGACGATGATCGTCGTCAGCAGAGCTGCGCGGCCACCGGTCCGGCATAAAGTTACCTATTACGTTATGACATTTATTTTTAATCAAACTAACGTAGAGATGTCCTATTTATACGTATACCGCGCCGCTGCTACTTATACTATTACTTACTACTTACTACTATTATTACTTACTACTACTCGAACGCGTAGGCGTTTCACGATCTTGCGGCGTTTAATACCGCTGAGACTACCGCTGTTACCATCCGCTACCTTCTTACCAGCACCTTGTGTTACCATTGTCCGCTAAACGCGTAAGGATTACCGTCAACGTTTTAAGCACTCTACTCGCCGAAGTCTCTCCAACGTGTCGTGCGACTCATCGGGGAAACGAACGTGAACGTCGGGACGGAGGACGATCGTCGTGATCCTGGAAGGGAGACTCTACGAGCCGTCATCTTCGACAGGCTCTCAGCGACGTTTAACCGGTTTCTCGGTTGTTCCGGGGACTCGACTTTAGGAGAGTCCTCGCAACAGCCCGACGATCGCTACTTTTCTCTGTCGCGTGTATGTATATCTGTCCGACGTAAAAATTAACAGCCCGCTAAACCGATCCAGACCGGTACACCGTTACACCGAGATTATCGAGAGCCATCGACACAGCATTAATCCTTAGAGTGCACCGAATCAGCGGGGAGAAAAAAGGGAAGACAGAATTGAACGGGCCGCGTCACGCGCGGCTCGTTCACTTAACGAAACGCAGAACACGTTGAAATACATGTATGTGCACAATAGGTATATATATATATATATATACATATATACACATATGAAAAAAAAGAAGTAATTTACGTGTGTATACGTTAACTCTAAACGCCGTGTGTATCCGCAAATGTTCGACGCTTCGCGAGGAACGTCGTTCCTCGATCTCCGCGTGCAAGCAAAAAGCAAATATGAAACTAACCGTGGCTCCTTCGAAAACGATCGATCTTTTCCGTTTCGTAACTCTGTTGTTCGTTCGGTGCTGTTCTTCGTGGTGTCTTCGCCAAGCCCATTCCACGCGAGAAACGATCTCTCGTCACGGAAGCGTGCGCGGAGGAAAGGGAGTCGCCGGTCTCGGTTGCGCGACGTTTCAAACGGAAATACGAAATTCGAAACAATTCGACGACGATGCTTTTCCTCCGCGCAGATTAGAGATACGTCGACAGGTGTGTGAGAAACGTTTGCGGATGGATACGAGATATCGCAGGTGTTCGGAGAATTATGAACAAAATGCCCGGCAAGAAAGCAAGGTACAAGATCGCCCGAGGGGCGCGTTCCTCTCGGTCGAAATTAGGGTTGCGCGGCGCGAACGGGAGCGGTCCGTTGGTCTCCGTTAATTATAAATAGCGAATCGGCGTACGGTGAATTTTCTCATCGGACGGGGAACGGTGTGCCTCAGTGGAGGGGAACACGGACCGATCGCGTTCGCCGCGCGTGTACGTAGATCCGCGTCGAGTCCGGCAGAGATCTGGCGACATCGGGAATCCGTCAAGTAAAACGGTGCTATTAGGCTAATTGCGATTGACGAGCGCTTAACGAAGTTTCGAGGGTTCTTAAGTTTCTTGCCTCCCCACCCCTCCTCGGCGGCGAGCAAAGGGAAATGGTGTTTTCGTTCCTATTTTACTTAAGAAAATTCGAGAGGACGCCTCGGCGACGACCGTTTCCAATCCCCTATTGGAGCGGAAACAATCGATACTCGTGGTTGACGTGTTCCGGTTCCGGCACCGCTGCGTCTGTCCCGCACTCGACGCCCCCGATTCTCAACGATGTATTATTTTCTACGACGTGTAATTTCTAAAAAGGTGAAACAAAAAGAAACCGTGAACAAAGAGGTGAAAAAAAAGGAGAACAGAAAAAGAGGAAAAAAGACAAAGCGAGAGAAGGGTTTAGCTGACGATATAGAAGACGAAGAGGTGGTTCGGATCGTTCGGGACCGTAGGAATATCTCGACGAGGCACGAGGTCGTGCGGCTACACTGTTTGTTAAACCGAATTTTAATTGTCATCGCTGTAACGAACGAACGGCCAATTCCGTTAGGTGTACTGTCCTCTTCCCTCAATGTAACAATAAATGTTCAATCAACGGATGAGATCACTTTTTTTTACCGAAGCTATTTTGTTTTTGTAATAAAGTGCATTACTACTTCGATCCATTCGGCAGACCTATCGGCGCGAGCGCTATGTACAGCGAGGAGATCGAGATCGATAGCCGTTCCCCTTTCCGTCCACTGATTAGGGAAGCGTTTATCGGGCGTGTTCGACTGTCGTTTCTCCCTTCGTCCGAGGTGTCAAGTGAATGTAAGATAGAGAAAGAGAGAGGGAAAGATTTTCACTTTTGTACCGTTCCCATGATGATTTCACCTTCCCAGGGCAAAAATTTATATTTATCGATTGAGAAGGAAGAGAAAAGATCGATGCGGCGGGTCCTCGTTTTCGTACGGACATTTCCACGATCGATTCGTGCTCGGTTCGCCGCCAGTGTCCGCGGATGCGGCGTATCAAAACGAATGCACAATCGCGAGCACCGGCACACCGGAAACGGTAGCACGTTGCACCGAAAGTAAACATTTATAAATCTACGTACGCGAGAAGCGTACTCGCGCTGTCGAAACACTAACGATCCGATCGATCGCGCAGGGAAATGGATTCCCGCGAAGCGAGACGGCGAGATTGTGGTAAAATAAATTTCGATCCCTCCCCTCCTCCTCTGTGAATGTATCGATGCAATAATTCGCGACGACCGGAAGCCAGTGAAGGGGATCGAATTGGCGAAGGGATAGGAAGCGAATGGAAACGACGCTGTCGATCGATTGTCGACGTATTGACGGCCGTACAACTGAAAAGGTGGTGCGGATCGTGATCGATTGTTAGCTCGCCGATGATCCTCGCCGATCTGTCTCTATGTTCCCTCGTTGCAATCGTTACGGCGACGACAATAAAAGAAAATTTCGAACCGAAGAGAAGGGAAAAAAAAGGAATCGCGAGACAAGTTTCCCCACCACCGGCCTTTTCACCCCTACGACCGTCGATATAATCAACAATGTTTCTGATTAAATTGTTGTTAAACTATTTTCCCTCGTGTTGTTTACACGTGCGCACATCTACGAGATCCTCCTTTCCGCGGTCTGGTTCGCTGTTATTCTGTGCCGAGCCACAAACACACATACACATACAGACACACACTGTTCCCTCTCGCTTGAATAATATAATATAATGAAATATAATATATACATAAATAAATAAATGAATATATATATATACATAATTATAAATATATAAATATAATGTTTAATATAAATAAAGAGGTAAATATACTTTCGATATGTGAACAAGAAAGCAGTTCAAAGGCATGACGTGCGAAAAAAAAAATATTATGACCATTATATTTTATAAATAAAAGAAATTGATATGTGATATAGATGGTAAGGCACGCGGACGATGCGTTGCGATGCATTACGAAAGCAAATGTATTCTGTATATCGTTTCATTAAATCTATTAAAATAACTCCGACCGGTCGATTCGTTTCTCCCCGACTCTGTCCCGTTCTCGCGACATTGTAACCCCCTTACGACGTTATTCACCAGGGAACAGGTATCCGGGAGTTTGTCAATAGTCCCGAGGGAATCTGTCCGTTGTCAAGGGGGCAGCCAGTTTGCATAAAGCACACCTGGTGCCCGATACTAGTTCGGCAAACCGGAAACGCGCGGGCCACGTACGTGCCCCTTCACCGTTAAATCAATATTAATCTATCTCTAAACTTCGTTTCTGCTCAGAAAAAATACTTCATTCCATCTTCGATTAGAGAGTCGAATTGGATTCAAATAAAATTTTTCATCTACCCATTGCTAAATTGCAGCAATTACGCAATGCTTATGTGCAAGATCCACCCAATAAACATTTCTCTTTGTACCCGTTTCCATCTGTTCTAATATAACATTTAAAAGATGAACTTCTTGAAATTTACTAGAAATTATTGAGAAGATACAAGCATATTTCTGTACAATATTATTAAAAATGCAAACTGTGCAAACTTTAAAGTTGGATTACTTAAAGATTAGGTGCAAAGGGCAGTTAACATTGTCATCGAGAAAAGTAAGTTTATTTCCTTCGAACAAGAAATTTAAGGTAAAGAAACCATTGGTTAATATAAAAAGGGGAAAATCTGATGAGAATAGCATCACGTCGTTAATGGCGCGAGCGATGCAGGTGTTCGAAAGCGAATCGCGTGGCAGCGTGTAGCAGACGAGCCCGTGTCCGCGTTTCAAAATTCGTGGCATAACGGCCGTTTGGAAGGCGCACGCGCGGGAGCGCTGGCGGCGTTTCAGATGGCGTTCGCGAATGTTAGTGCGCATGCGGGAAACAAAATTCGCACGGCGCAACGAGAAAATAGTCCGCGCTCGAGAAAATACGACGATCGTGTCGGAGAAACTTGACACTCGTGACAGTGGTTTAGTTAGGCTGACGGTAATTACCCCGATCGCTCGAGGAGAAATTAACGGAGCAGTGGATTAGGCAGGCAGGCCAGTGCGTAAATTATTCGGTTCGTATAATCGTGGAGAAACGTCGGTGCGTGGTAGGCGCGAGATTATCAAAGGGCGCGGATATTACTGCGCGGCACGTTGTGGAAGGAAGCAGAAACCGAGCACTGGCAGGAAGTGGGTAGAAGGGGGGTACGTCGTCGAGCAGTTGATTCGGTGGTGGCTACATGTGGCTGTCCGCCGGTCGCAACGAAGAGACATTTCCTATCAGGGCATAAGAGTTACGCGTACCGCAGTACGATATAATCGTTGAGGAAAAAGAAGCACACACATAGCCGCAATCATGCAGATGGATCCAACGTCGGTGCAACTGATCCAGGTTCTCGAGAGGACCGTCTCGTCAGGTAAGTACGGTTCGATTAATCATGCTCGGGTCGGCGACATCATGAAACCGGAGGCGAATTTATTATAACCGTTTAATCGTATCCCCGTGACGATCCGTTTAATATCGTTCACGTGAACGGTATTTATCAACGATGGACAAATCGACGATCGTTTCTCACCCTGTTCCGACGACCTTGCCTGAAAAAGTAACGTCCAGCCGCGTGCGCGTCCCTTTTGTACTCTATCCGGTGTGCAGTCCTGCGGTGCTCGGTAACGACATTAATCGGTCGTTTCGTCGGCTTGTCGATTATTTGTTAGCATCGGGACGCTAGTATTTGATTAGGATAGTGATTTCGGAGGGTAGTGTGTCGTATTGTGCTCCGCTTGGCTGTTGCTAGGTGGCTTTGTTCGAGACAGGAAAAGTATTGTCCCTCTGTGACGGTTACTCAAACTGCACGTCCCTGTTGTCGGTTGGCACGGCGCGGGTATCAATGCATCGTGGCTTTCTAACCTCTATCGTTGCAGTGAATTACTGCGGCGTCTCGATGTTTCCAGCGTTTCACCTTAGTATATCGATGATTTTAATTAGCCAGATTTTATATTTGCGATTTCAGACAAAACTCAGCTGGAGGCAGCTCAAAATTTTTTGGAGCGAGCAGCACAAACTAATCTTGTAAGTTATCTAATCGGTTTAGATAGGAGCCTTTAGATTAGGGGAATAATGAATATCAAGCGTATTTTGAATCTTTTTAGCATGAGTTTATGCAACGACTCAGCGGTGTGCTGGTTACAACCGCTGCATCTCCTGTTGCCCGTATGGCAGCGGGTCTACAACTTAAAAATCAACTTACGTCCAAAGACCCCCAATTGAAATACCAATATCAGCAACGCTGGCTTGGGATTCCGATAGAGATCAGGGAATATATCAAGAAAAATGTAAGATAGTTGGTTCTCGAGAATTAGTTGTAAGTTAAAGGTAGAACGTAGGTCAGGTATCATTGTATTGGTTTATTGATAGATTTTGGGAGCGCTTGGAACAGAGAACAATAGGCCAAGTTCTGCTGCGCAATGTGTTGCATATGTTGCGGTTGCCGAATTACCTGTTGGGCAATGGTCTGAAATTATTCAACTACTAGTCAGCAATGTTGCAAATCCAACCAGCACTGAGATAATGAAGGAGGCAACGTTAGAGGCCATTGGTTACATTTGTCAGGAAATAGAAAGCGATGTTTTGGTACCTCAGTCTAATCAAATTCTCACAGCAATTATTCATGGCATGCAGGGGTCTAGTACTTCGAATAATGTTCGCCTCGCAGCTACAAGTGCATTCTACAATTCTTTAGAGTTTACCAAAGGAAATTTTGAGATAGAGGTTGGTATCGTGAGCATCTAGCTTTCTTAAAGAATAGTATAGTTATTGTTTAATTCGATTGTTTATACTTACAGAGGGAGAGAAACTTTATTATGGAAGTAGTATGCGAAGCAACGCAATCCTTAAACACTCAGATTAAAGTAGCCGCTTTACAGTGTCTTGTAAAAATTATGTCTTTATATTATCAATACATGGAGCCGTACATGGCTCCAGCTCTCTTTCCTATTACCTTGGAAGCTATGAAATCAGATATCGATGAAGTTGCACTGCAAGGAATTGAGTTCTGGTCAAATGTGTCCGACGAAGAGGTAGATCTATCCATGGAAGAAGGGGAAGCTTCAGATGGGGGTAGACCGCCGGTAAAAGTATCAAGGCATTACGCGAAGGGTGCTTTGCAATACCTGGTACCTGTATTAATGAAAAAATTGACCAAGCAAGAAGAGTTTGACGATGAAGATGACTGGAATCCTTCAAAAGCAGCTGGAGTGTGTTTGATGTTATTGTCTTCTTGCTGCGAGGGGGCTATTGTTCCACATGTTCTTCCATTTGTCAAAGACAACATCAAGAGCGCCGATTGGAGGTATCGCGACGCTGCTTTAATGGCCTTCGGATCGGTCCTTGGTGGTTTGGATACTGGAACTGTGAAACCATTGGTAGAACAAGCCATGTCGACTCTGATCGAGCTGATGTACGACAATAGCGTCGCTGTCAGGGATACCGCTGCGTGGACATTCGGCCGGATCTGCGAGATCATACCAGAAGCGGCTATCAACGAGACCTATTTGAGTCCTTTACTGGAAGCTCTAATACACGGTTTGGATGCGGAACCTCGCGTCGCTGCGAACGTTTGTTGGGCTTTCACGGGACTGGCTGAAGCTAGTTACGAGTCTGCGGAATGTTCCCAACGCGGCGAACAACCAGGAACGTACTGTATGTCCCAATATTTCGACTACATTGTCCAGAGACTATTGGAAACCACGGATCGTCCGGACGGAGCTCAAGCGAATTTACGGTCAGCCGCGTACGAGGCTTTAATGGAAATGGTCAAGAATTCACCCCGCGACTGTTACGTAACTGTGCAGAAGACGACAATGGTGATCTTGGAGAGGTTGCAGCAGGTACTGCAAATGGAAACGCATATCCAGACTCACTCCGATCGGGCTCAGTACAACGATCTTCAGTCGCTGCTCTGCGCCACCTTGCAGTCCGTGCTGCGTAAGGTCACCCCGGAGGATGCTCCCCAAATATCGGACGTGATAATGATGGCATTGCTGTCCATGTTTAACTCGAACTCGTGCAAAGCCGAAGGTGTGCAAGAGGATGCCCTGATGGCTGTGTCCACCTTGGTCGAAGTATTGGGGGAGGGTTTCTTGAAATACATGGAATCGTTTAAGCCTTACCTGATCCTCGGTCTGAAGAATCATGCCGAGTACCAGGTCTGTTGCGCTACCGTAGGCCTGACCGGTGACATTTGCCGGGCTTTGAAGAACAAGATGCTTCCTTACTGCGACGAGATCATGACGGTGCTGCTCGAGAACCTTGGCAACAATTCAGTCCATCGTTCCGTCAAGCCGCAGATATTCTCCGTCTTCGGTGACATCGCGTTGAGCATCGGTCCCGAGTTCAAAAAATATCTGGACGTTGTGCTGCAAACGTTGGCGCAGGCCTCGCAGGCGACTGTCGACAGGAGCGATTACGACATGGTTGATTACCTGAACGAGTTACGCGAGGGCGTTCTCGAGGCCTACACGGGCATAGTGCAGGGTCTCAGAGGCGACCAGTCGAATCCTTGCCCGGACGCCGCAGTCGCTCTTGTCGAGCCCCATGTACCTTTCATCATTCAGTTCATTACGTCGATAGCTCAGGACCGTGAACATTCGGAAGGTAACACGGCAGCATCTGTGGGTCTGCTCGGTGACTTGGTCACCGTATTCGGGGCGAAACTGTTGCCGATGGTGGAGACGAAACCGCTCACCGACCTATTAGACAAGGCCAAGCGATCGCGTAACCAGAAGACAAAGGCCTTAGCTAGCTGGGCAACCAAAGAGGTTCGGAAACTTCACAACGCTACCAACTCCGCGTCCAGTTGGTGAGTAAACGCTTTAGCTTTCTTAATCTCCCCATTCCCCTTTGTACAGGGTGTCCGGTGAACCGTAGGTGGAATCAGTTTACCGGACACCCCGTAATCGAACCGTTTCTCGTGTGAACGTTGTGTGCTGAATGTACTCTCATCTTTTATTCGTACCGATTCATTTATCGATTAATCGTTCGATTCGTCCATTCTCCGTGCTCTTCTCGACTCGTTACGGTAACGGCTGGTTCCGTACCTACAACGTGTCTTTTTTTATATAGGCTGAGCTAGTTTACAATGACAGGACAAATGGCGAATGGCGAAGGTAACATGGGATGGGGGTCAGGCCTAAGGATAATAGGGATCGGGGGCAGTAACGTAAAGTTCGAGGCGTTGCTTTGCTTTATATCCTTTATCTCTTAATAGGACCCACCCGTTC